TTTTGTTCCCGTGTGGAAAGCGCAGCCCCGCTGGTTCAGCGGCCTCCACCGCTTCGTGCTGCTCGAGGCACGTCCTCTCCTGAGGTACTTCACGGGCGCGAAGGGCCTTCCAGCCACCACGGCATACAGCGGTGGTGACCGTCTTCTATCCACGTGCATTTTAGCAACACAAACTTTTTTTTTTTGGCTGAAAATGCAATGTCTTTTTAGAACAGCTTTATAATATTTTTGCCAGTAATGCACAGATGAGGTGTGTAAAGGAAGTAGTTACTGATACACACTTAAATTTTTAGGTTAATTTATTTTCAGTACCTGTTCTTTGGTACAGGTATTAGTAAAGCTGGAAAATAGGCACAAGTATTTTCTCAATGAAAAGACCGACTAATTAAAACAGCTGTACATCTTTACAGCACATAAAAAGCCTTGCTAACAGAATCCTCTACTGCATCAGCACAATTGCTACCAGCAAAAACTCCTGCAATATAAACGTTCACCGTTATCTCAACTTTGTTGTAATTTCTTTTCCTAAGCTGTAATTTAATTTAGTGGAAGAGACTTAAGTGTGATGAACTCATCAAAACATTCAGTGCTTGCCAAAAAAAAAAAAAAAGCAAGCTAAACATTGTTCCATGTCTGAAACTATTATAAGCCCCCTTCTTAAAGATGCAGCTATATTACAGCTCAAGCAACTTATCATTCATTAAAAAGCACCAGTCACTAAGTTCTATATTACAGCCACCATCTTGCAAATGACTACTGAAGTTAAATGCTAGCACTAATAAAAACTTAAAAAAATACAAATCTCTTACTACCAATCTTTTAAAGATTTGTACGGAACATGTAAATAGGAAAACACCTTATATATGTTAAAATCTAAGTATTTTTTGCAGTTCATTCAGCGTAACCAGGTAGTATTCAATTGTGTCTGGTTTTTTATGCTTGTGTCCATTTTCAAAACTTCTCGGATTGCCATGGTAGCATAAGTGGATGGGGGAAGGGAGAACTCCATCTTTAGTGCCCTGAATTTACCATCTGTCATAAGGGGTAAGAGGAAACACAAAGGAAAAAAAAAAAGTTGTTAACGGCATAAGTAATGCTTATTCTTGATGCCATCTAAACTAGACTAAAGTTTTCCATGACCAACCCCCCCGCCCCCCCATAAAACAAAACCACCACCACCACGCTCCAATTTACAATCCATAGCATAATTTCATAAAACAACTTCTTTTTAACATTTTCTCTCAGCAAGAAGTGGTGTTTTGGGGTTTTTCTTCTTTTTAAAGCAAAATAAACTTTTGTTCTTTCAAAACTAAATTCCTAGCCTCTCTTCATTTTTTCTGGAAAGTAGTGTCAAAAGACCTTGTGACCAGAGTTATGTAAAAAAAATGCAAGTATTTGAGTAGTCTCTTATATTCAGCACAAATAAATACGCTCAAGCATATAGACAATTTGTGGCTTAATTCCACCTTCATGCATTTCATAGACATTGCTAAGCATTTACCTGACTTTACATATGTCTATAAGAAAATGTAACAGTTGATAGAGACTGCTAGAAGAATTGCTCACACTCTGGAGAAATACAAGTCCTTATTTAGACACTTAACTTTGGCTATCTTTAATAGCACTGCTTAACAATCTAGTTGAATGAAAGCTCTTCCTTAAAAGACCTTTCAATATGTAGCAGTTCAAAGCAACAGCCAGATCAAACTTCTGTTTTGCAACCATCAGCAAAAAAAATCAACTTACATGTAGGAAGAACTGGTAATGGTTTTCCTTCCAGCTTATCCAAATCCGTAGTAAATAATGGGATTCTGGGATCATCATATGCAACAACCTCCCTTTATAATATAAGTAAGATTTTTTTAATTATTATTTTAAAATAATTGGAATAAAATTTATAATTTTATTACTTTATATAAATAATACATTTCTATATTATCACTATTATTATTATTCCAGTTTGGCAGTTACAACTGAAATGGAATTGATTTTGTAATAAAATAACGTAAGGAGGCATTTAGGTACAATAACTGGTAAAGCTTTATGTGGAAGACTCGCCTGTGTTTGATGAAGATTATAAACTCCTCTGTCTTCCCTCATGGGCTGTCAGGATTTCCAGCTATACAAGAAGTATAGCTTATGAAATTATGGGAAGAATGGTGTCAACTCTAAGAATACTTGGGGGGGGGAAGCCTTCATTTTGAAGAAAGCCATCTAAACTTCTTTGAAAGGTCATATATTCTACTCTTTCTGCCACTCATTTAACAGAAATCATGCCATATGTAATGACAAGGCTGAAAAAGTAACTAGGAAGTAGGTAAGCTTTAAACATCAGCATTTTAATTAAAATCAAGTGTAAACATTTGTATTTTTTGTCTCCCTCCTAAACTCTGTACTTTTTCTCTATGCATCAGTGATCAAGTCTTTCTGCACATGTCTACAGTTACCTGTTTAAAAGGTATTTATTCAGTTGCCGTATGACAACTAGGTTGTACCTCTAACAACAGTGATTTACTAGGTTTATGGGATACAGATCTTTCTGATTGACAGATAGGTAATTGCAGACCAACTTTCTCATAGCAAGACGACCAAAAAACCCTGTTTTGAATATTATCTATCATGGTTTCAACATAAATAATTATATATGAAGTGTTCAAGCAAGCCCTTGCAAGGAGTGTAACAACTAGATGTCTTGACACTCATGTATCACAGAGCCAGAGGACCAAGGAAGAACTTTAACTGCATAAAAAACATGAGGGAAACGCACAGAGATTCCTCCCTACCTGTGTTTCAGCCTGCATGTACATCCCGTGGGTCTTGTACTTGGTCTAATGGTTCTTGTACTTAGTCATCCCGCATAATACTCTAAGCTGTCAATTCAGGTGTAATTTCCTTTATCCTCCTACTTACCAATTGACATTCTGAGGTCGAATGATAATCTTTCTGTATGCTCCAGAAAGTGAATAATCTCTGATCTTATGCCTCATGTTGTTGATATCAAGATTGTCAGCTACTAGCATTTCCTTGTAGGCCTCACCAACTGCAGGAGAGGAAAATATTTAAATAGGAGAGAGCGTAGGCTGAAAACAGCCTTTTTTCCTGGATCGTTCCTTCCCTTATATTTAGTAGTTTTCAGCATATATAGGATAAATGTTACACAGAAGTTTAAAATTACTTATTGCAAATCTTATTACCTACAATGTTTGCTTCTATAACTGATTAGTAGAGGCAGTAACCAAGAAGGAATCTTAGCAAATCAAAATGTCAGCTGAAAACAATTTACAAAATATTTTATTGACATTTCATTGACATCTAATGCATTCTTTCAGATTATCTAAACTTCACAAGACATATCTCAAGTAGATGGAGAAAAAAAAAAACAATGGGCCAGACTACCCATTGCTCTAACTTTGAAAAAGCAGCAGAGTGAAATGAGTTAAAAGAGCCCTCTGAAGAAATTAGCCCGTAGGGACCTTTAAGTACACCGCCAACAGAAGGAGTAATTCTATTACAGTCTTATATCCTTAAGTAAGGGCGTTGCACGCACACCTTGGGAAGACAGGGAAGGCAATGGAAATACAAGAACATACTGCAGCTAAAATGCTGTCTGGTGCCTCTGATTTGCAGTGCAATTGCCAGCATTACTTCATGCAGTTGGGAATTTTAAACAGGAACAAGTTAGGTTTACTGGGGGCAAATCCCAGTATAAATATATTGAATGTAAAAAATTGCAGCTTTTCTTTCCAAACTTTTTACTCAGTGTGGTTCAGAGCCACACCTCATCACAAATAGATCTTTACCTTCCAAGTGTTTCAGAGATGGGTGATAAATGGGATCCTAGCTCTGGGACTTAGCTCTGACTGGCAGTCTCAGGAGACCTGACTGGTCTTTTAAGGACAACCAAAGACAAGAGCAGTTCAACCCCATATTGAGGAAAACCAGCATACGTATTGGGAGACTGGTTTGGCAAAGCAGGGAACTCATGACTAAGCTCATATGTAAGGACACATACAGTAGGTAAAAGCTAGGGCCAGCTACAAAGAACAAATATATAAACATAGTCCAGGCTCATAGGGGTGGTGTTAGGAAAGCCAAAGCTCAGCCAGAGTTGAAATCAGCACCAGACATCAAGAACAAGAAGAGTTAAATTGCAACAACAGGAATGAAAGAATACAAGGAAAACGTTGGCCTGCTGCTAAACAGGGCAGGTGGTCTAGCAACAGACATAAGTCTGATGGTCTCAGCGCCTCCTTTGCCTCAGTCTTGACCAGCAAGGTCTCCCAGGCCTCTGTTCCTAGAGGCAACGTTCAGGAAAGAGAGAGTCTACCAGTACTGGAAGAAGATACAAGCTGAGAGAGCTGGGTCACATCCTGGTAAAGCTTTTCTCTATCATCTCTGAAAGATTGTGGAGCTCTGGGGAGGTCCCAGGCGACAGCAGAAAACCAAGTGTTGCACACATCTTCAGAAATAAGGATGATCTAGGGAATTACAGACCAGTCAGACTCACTTTGGTCTCTGGGAAAAATAATGGGGCTAATCTTCTTGCAACATGTTTCTGGGCACACCATGAGAATAATAACGAGCACAGTTTTACAAAAGGGGGAGGAAAAGAAGAGAAAAACCAAAAAACCCACCAACCTCACTGCCTTCTATGATGAAATTATTGCATCTATGGACAAGGGGAGAGCAGTGACTGTTGCCTACCTTGCCCTTAGCAAAGCTGTCGACATGTTCTCACAGCATCTTTGTATCCAAAGTTATAACATTAAGTGGGTGGACTGCTAGATGGGTAAAGAACTGTGGGGCTCATTATCTGGCTCATAGTCACTACCAGTTTGAGCTCTACCTAGAAGCTCCTTACAAGCTGAGTTCCTCAAAGAACTGTGAGGTGTCTTGTTAGAATACCTTTATCAGCATACATGGAGGAGGAGCCGGAATTCACCCCAACTCTGTGGACACAATCAAGCTGGAGTGGCAGTCGATACACCCACAGGCAGGACTGCCACTCAGAGGGAACTAGGCAGGCTAGAGGAATGGGCTGAGAGGAACCTCGTCACATTCAGCAAGGACAAAGTCCTGTACCTCATGGTGATTAATTCCTTGCAATGGTACAGGCCAGGGAGCGACTCTGCTGACAGTCACTTGGGACTCCCAGTGGAAAGGAGACTTACCAGAGTGCCCTGGCAGCAACAAAAGCTAATTGCAACAGGAGCTTACCCAGTAGCTGCACCAAGAAAACCAATTACTGCCCTTTACTGGGCACTCATGAGACTGCACTCAGAACAGTGTGTCCAGTACAAAACAGATGCTGGTAAACCTGAATGAGTCCAACAGAGGATCACCTCGATGGCCAAGGACTGTAGCACATGGCCTCTGAGAAGAGTCTGAGAGAACTGGGCTTTTCTAGCTCAGAGAGGAGAAGACTTAGAGACTATTTGTTCTCGAAAGTTTCAGACCTGAGAGGACAAAGCCTGAGTAAGCTAGCCTGAATATGGCACCGACCTTGCTTTGACCAAAGGGTTGGACCAGATGGCCTCCTGAGGTCCCTTCCAACCAAAATGATTCTACAAGTCTATCCCTAAGTAATAACATCATGGTGTATGCAGATAATTATAGATCGCTCAACCTACTCCATTAAAAACAATTTAGATCCAACACACTTTATATACAGAAGATGAAAGATATGTTTTGTTTTTTAAACATTCATATTGGTTAATATTTAAACAGATGTGGTTCTTTTTCCTAACTTCAGGTGTTTGCTTGGCTTACAAATTCTAGAAGTTTGGTTTGTTTTCCAATTTAAAAATCAAATGTATATCCTTTTCAATTAACATTTCACCATTTTTTTCCCCTTGTGCTGACATAAATACTTTTGCTTCAGTAAAGAATTTCTTTCTTTGGAAAAGCTACTTGCTAAAAAGAAATATGAAACAGATATATGTTAAATGAAACAAATTACAATTCAGATTATTGTTATCACAATGAAAGAGGCTGACAGTAATGTATCTGAGCTCTGAAATAGTGTCTTGTTTTAATGGTCACCAACGTTGCCTAGATCTAATCTTCCTTTTACGAACAATCTTAAAGCAGACTTACATTTTCAGAGTGAGTACTGAAGTTAACAGTCAGACTTACTTTTATGCTTTGGATAAATAACATCAAATCCAGGCAATGGCATCACTACATCGTGGATAGTGTAGTTATCAACATCTCCTTCTTCGATATGAACAGCTGTGGCTACAATCAGGACAGAAAAAATTAAGAGTTACCAGTATGGATGCCTGTGACAGTTAACATTTGCTAAATTTAAAATGAACCACTTGATTGAAACAAGCATACTTTGAGAGAGATAACTACTATGTTTTATCTTCACTTAATAGACAAAATTTCCAAGAAAAGAAATAACAGTCTTCAAGGCTGTCACAGTCACTGGCAGAATCACAGCCTGGTCTTCAGTGACTTTTAAAGCTGAAGTAAGGACTGCTAGATGAACAGTCCTCTAACGAGGCATCAGGCATACATGAAGGAGAAATATTGTGGATATTCTTGCCCCAGGGAAATGCCAGAGCAAATCCAAGTGAAGAAAGTTTCAATTGAGTTGAGCCTCTGCTTTACACAATACCACTACAAACAAAACCTTCTGTGATTAAAACATTCATAATATCCTTCCATAGTTCTCCATAGCTCAACCAGGTTTGAGTTCATTCTTGAGAACAATCAGTCCTTCATGGTCTCTCTTCCCTATCCAACTATTTGGAAAAACAAGCAAACCAACAGCTCATGAAGTGTAATACCTAACTTCCAATTTCTTACAAAATTTGACCAAAACTGGTTAACGGATTCAGAAATCACTGGACCAAAACGGTCGAGAGGGAAAAGAACACATGTATGCAGTATCACCTAAACAGATATGTGCCTTGTTTTCCTAGGCATTTGAACTACAGAGCATCACTGGCTTTTTGTTTGTCCGATTTTACCTCCTTTAAGCGTGAGATCTCCTGGTACGGCTCTAAGGCCGTATTCTTCTATTCTCTTGCTCACCATGTTATTCCACACATAACTCTGGTAGCTATGAATATACATTAAGCGATTATTTCTTGGTATCTAGAGGTAAAGAAAAAAAGAAAAGTGAAACATTAGAAAGATGTATTTTTAGTTTTTTCTCTCAATCACAACCAGAGGTGCATATATTTGAAACGTTACCTTCTCCAGCAACAAGACTAACAATTTCTTTGTATACAGATTTGGTTTTTGTTCATTATTTGGGAAAAGGGTTTATGAAGAAATAATGTTTTTACACATTTGAATTCTGCACAAAAAAAACAACCTTGTGCTTAAATTAAAAAAAAAAAAGCTTTTTAAATTTTTATTTTTTTTAATTCAACAGCTCATCAAACACATGGGGCTATTATAAAACATTGAATTCATACTTAACCTCCTGAAATCTTAACTAAACTTTGCAGATGTGAAGGCACAGTCAGTGTTATTCTAATTATCTTCTTCATAAACAAGAAATTATTCCTTGGCTCCTACAATGGGCCCAGTAGTTTGCTGGTGATGAGGTATTTTCTCCAAAGACTTGCTCTTGATTACAGTACTTGAAAATGACAGTGAATCCACCACCCCTACACCAAGCTGATTCATTAGCACACTATCAGTTTGATTTATATGTTTAAAGCAACAGAAAAACTGATAATGAACTTCCGCAGAATTCTCGGATCTGTATTATACATGGTTACTAAGTGTAACTGCATTGATTCCAACAGACCAGAGACATTGTTGTATAAATTGGAAAGCTCATTATGCATACATTAATTACAGATGTCATCAGTTACCATGCAGCAGTACTTCAAGCAAAAAGACAGGATAAATATAAAGATTTTACACTTAACCTTCTACTCATCAAGCATCTATGAGTCTATTTCAAATTCATCATGATACCATCAAAAGAGCGTTTATGCAAGTAAATACCCCACAGCACTTTTACACTCACTATGCCAAATGCAGAGATTATGTTCTTCATTCCATACTTTAAGAGTCCGCGTAGAAGCTGTCCTTCCACGCACCTTTTTACGGGTAGTTTCTTGAGGGCTGCTGCTGGATCTTTAGTCTTTGCCCATTCTTCTCTGCATTTTACTAAGTATCCCTTTTCAGCTAGAAGAAGGATGCAAAATAAAAATACTTTAACTACACACCACCCATCTCACCTTTTGTTAAAACAGTTGAAAAATTAAAGTTTCAGTCACCGTAATTACACAGATTAACAGAATCACAGAATAGTTGAGGTTTGAAGGCTGAGCAGACTCTGTGTCTAAGTACTCAGGTCCCTTTTCACTCCCAAGAGTGCAAGAAACTGCACAGCAAGGGAAGAGGAGGAGAAAGGCAGAGAGTCTGAAGATTGTTTTTCCATTGCTAAACTGGCCAAAGTTCAGCACGTGCAAAGCTGGGCTCAAAAACGTCCTTTCAAATTAAAAGGATCTGAAAGTGTTTTTCCTGAACATACAATTTTTGGAAGAGGAGAGGCAGAAACATTTAATGTACCATTTTTCAGTCCTTACCTCCTGGTCGTGGTTTTAATATCAAATCCATTACTTCATTCCAATTGTTCTGTAGAATAGCTCTAAGATTCAAACAGTAAAGTTTATTAAAAACTGACTAAATATATTTAGAGGAGATTTAGCCAATGTATATAAAAAAAAAAGTATTAGTGTTTAGATTTATTCAATATTAAAAGTAGTGGTATTATGCAAGATACCTGCTGAAGCAAGTTCAGAAACAAGCTCTTTCTTGAATGTAAAATTAAAACTGGCATATGCAATATGCTAGAAAAACATTCCTGAAAATACATTAGAAGTTACACAGTGATATTTTTTTTTTTTTAAAAAGAGGAGGGGAGGAAATGAAAACAACACATACCTGCCAATTTGATACGTAGGAACAGCTGTGGTTCCAAATCTTTGCATTCCATAGTAATTAATGAACCCAATTTCCCTGAGAGAGTGCATTGCTTGCTCTATCTGGTCATCAGTTCCTGTTATGTTTCTAGCATTTAAAAAAAAAAAGTTACAGACAGATTATTAAGGGCTTACACTATTTTGTGATCCCCATAATATTAAAGCTTAACATCAACATTATATAGCATTTATCAAATTCAACAGATTCCTGCCAATAGAAGGACTTTTCTTTTTTGTAACAAAAGATGCACTGATATCCCTTAACTACTTAAAGAAAAAGAAATTCTAACGGAACTGCCTAAATACATACTAACATATTACCTGAGAACAACAGTGAAATGGTTCCCTTGCAGCTCTCCTAATTTCAGTGGATGGTTCTTGTAACTGAAATTTCCTAATTTGAAGTTCATCAAACATTTATTCAAATGAGCAAGTCTTTGTGCAGTGATTCTAAAAAAACCCAGAAAACAGTGACCAACATATGCTTAGAAAAACAGATAATTAAATAAATACAGAAATACCAGCATTTCAAAACAAAAAGCAGTGAGTCCAGTTTCCCCGATTTCCTGTTGTTGCCATTTCAAAGTATTTTAATGAAATATCTAGAAGAAAAGAACAGGTAATTCTTAAGGCTACTTATACAAGAGAAAATGTATACCATGACAAAGACTTGTTAGTATTGTCTTTTCACATCTATGTTACCATACTTAACAAAAAGTATGTTGCAATATTGATGTATACCGTACCCACAAGCTGAACTCTACTTTATTTGAGTAACTACACCATGAATACACTCCAGTTAGCACAGTCATAAACACAGAGTTAAGTAATTAGCCACTGTGTAGGCTTAATGTAGATGAGGGAGTATGAAATCCGATCTGTCACTGATATCTGTCATTTTTGTTGCTAGTACTTTTGGAAGCATACCTTGTTCTTTGCATCATGGAGCCGCTCTTTCACGTTTCCACTAAAATTTATAGCAGGATACACAAGTTTACCAACTAGCCTGGCCAGCGTACTCAGCTTGGAACAGGCTAATAAACAGTAAGGTCTCCTCTCTGACGCCACCCTTCTCCAAGGCTGTGCAGGAGAGTCAGGTACTGTGGCACTACTGCACGGACGCCACAAATCGCTACGCTCCCCCCAGTCGATGATAACCACATGCTGACACAAGATTAAACGTGATCACGGTAAACGTAAATGGAACAGCGCCTGAGATGGCTGCACCACAAGTTTGGTTAATTGTCATCACTTTGCAAACTTGCCTTGCCGCAACAAGAATGTAGGGCTCCTCATGGTTCACAAATTAATAATTCCTTTTATATGTGCAAACGTATGCACATGCAAACCACTGGGAGCAAAAGTATGAACAACTAAGTAGTGAACGCTCTCCTTTTAACAAGGATTTGATCAAATTTCTGGCTCTCAAAACTTGGAATTCCTCACTTGAAGAGCATGGTTTTCAAAGAGTTGTAAATAGTAGTCCAGGTAGAATATTCCAGCTAGCTAAACAGATATTGTAATATATGACTGCAAGGCATCCATCGTTCTCAGTTATGGATGTAACACTAATTTCAGGTGCCCAGAAACCATACAATTATCTTGGAATATGACAAAATAAATTTTATTTTCTCTTAGTAGGTGAGTTATGGGAGTAGGTTAAGGCAGGAAAAATTCCTCATCATGTTTTGCCCCTTCTGGCTACTCACAGATGAGCAAAGGCAGTGGTTAGCTTTCTCTGGAGCTGTTCAGAGAGTTCAGTGAGAAAGAAAATAGGATTCCAGCTGGAGGAGGGGGGAAACAAAATTCAGGAATGCAATGGGAGATAATTTTAGAAGTTACACAGTGATATTCTGCTGTGGAGAGAACACATTCAGTTGTTCTGCATGGGAGCCACACAGTTAAGAGCACGCAGGCAATTTGGCCCACTGCCTCAGCCAAATACATGTACCCAGCCTATTACTCAGAGCATCACTGACTGAAAATACTAGCAATCGCCATGGAATAAAAAAGGATTATAGCATCTTCATTTATACACGTTTTACAAGATCAGGACCTGAATCTGTCATTTGTCATGTGCATACTGAGTCTTCAAAGTATTTATCGAGATACTCAAGCTATCATGGTAGGAGCACAAATACTCCAGTGTACTTTCACTTACCTGAGAACAGCGATCTCTTGAACTGTTATAGCCCTTTTATCTTTAGTTCCCATGTACGAAAATATGTTTGGCTTCACTCTTAAAAGCAACAGTAACAGATATTATGCATATTAAAACAGCCACAGATTGAACATAGTTTTCAGCATAATGACCTAGAATGATTAATCTTCTATATTAAAAATAGAAAATACACATCCATGCCCCAGAACTAGGCTACAATTTAACACGTGACATTTTCTAATTCATCTATAAGTACATAAAACACAGGGAAATTTCTGTTTTAATTATATGTAGACAGATTTACCACAACTGTGCTTTCAGAATATGAGCTTTGAAGTACTTCTTTACACACATCCACTCAATGCATAAATGTGCAGCCACCACTAATTTCACTAAAAAAAAATTCACGTCCACTTCCTTGAACTTCAAATAACATGCCTGTTTGAATACCATGTATGCACATCATGTCAGAATATGAGATGTTAATTTAAAATTTGATCCATTTCTTTCCTTGAGAGCAAAATTTCCTTTCTGTTCCACTTTGTACTTTACAGCCTGTGTTACACAGGGAATATTTCCCATTATTCCAGCTATGGGCA